CTCATAAATTTTTAACAAAGTGATATTTTGAAACACCTAAAGGAATATTATGTCACTTAATAGCGGAAAATATTTTGTATAGGCCCGCTAGACCCAAGGAAGCTGCTTTAAAATGTCAATTTTAAAAGAAATTTCAGTCTAGCAGTACGAGGAACTACCTGCGCATTCCACGTCTTAGTGCGCACCTGCATGTATACGTGTGCGTACTCTTGTGTCTGTAAGTGACCCGCGTCTTGATAGCTCAAACTGTAGCATTAAAACAGGATTTTCAGTCGCTAATTTCTGCCTTCCGTTTGACCTATGGTTAGCTAGCACTCCATGATTATCGCACTTGTGCCACTTTCATCTGTCAATGATGTGCTTCCTCCCTTGGCTAAAAATACCAAAGTGCAGTTCTTCTGTCGAGACTGTATCACATAGGCCCACTTGCGGTGCTCTTGCTCCTGCCACCATTGACATCAATACCACCTCCGGGATAGCAATTCATATGAGCTTCCCTGTGGTTATTGTAAAACCTACTCTTATCAAACCGCAATTTATGAACACCAGTGCGCAGAATAAACCGCACACAACTCTAGAACCGCATCTATCAGTACGGAAGACTCGGATAACTCGACCATAAGAATTGATCTGGTTTTGAACGAAGTTGAGCTCCCTCGTATCTTTAAATTTTTGTTCTCATTTCGTTTTATTGAAGTCGAGGTATGTGTTGCTTTTAGTGCTTCACTTGCCCGACAATTTACAAGAGTCTAAGTGAATAACAGATACTCCCAATTCATTCATGGAGGCCATATAATGATTTGTAATTGAGCTGAATCAATCTCAGGTTTACTAGCTTAGGTTTTGGCTTAATTGTGTTTCTGAATTGACTAAAATCCGATTTTTAGTACTTTAACACTTTTTGGCGTGTACAAATTTAAATGGTTTTCTGTTTCAACTTATAAACTTACCCCAATAAAATGTACGAGTGGTTGTTGAACAAAATGTTAAACTTAATCTTTGGCAATTTGGTATGTACGTTATTTCCTTTGCAACAGATGTGACATTAGAGAAGTAGCTACGTAGTACTTTGACTTTCCGTTTAACTTTGCGTTCTGGTTACGCGGGCAGTGAAAGGCACGGCTATTGAACTTTTGGCCAGCGACATGGCCAGATTGCCATATTCTGTCCTAGTATTACGTCTTCTTTCGTCTTTAGAGAAGTCCTCTTATTTGTTAAACAAGGAAGTTTCCGTCAGTTCTGGGAAGGTTAAATAGATCATATTAGACCCTAGTTTCTTGTATGTAATGGATTAATATCATTTAATAATAGTACAGGGAAAGGGTGGTGACTCCCATGGAATTTTAAGTAAAAACCATAATTTTTTATCAAAATGTATTTTTAAAGTGGTTTTGCCGACATTTTAACCTAGGGCCACAGAATTTTCAGTTCGGTTATATAGAATACAAAATTTACTTGGATCAAGTAAGCTATTATTATGGGTTTTATAATCGCATTTGCAAGTGGCCTAAAAGTATTACCGAAAATTGGCGTATTTTGATTAGCGACTTCTCTATGAGTTTATGGAAGCTTGGTTACGACGCTTAGTGCATTGAAACCAAGTAACATCAAGTTTTAAAATATTTGTGTTATAAAAAACCTTCTCCTGAAGATCGAGGCCGATAATAAATCGGATGCATCGTATAATGCGATACACAAATATTAGTCAGACGAACTGGTAATCGCATGCTGTAGGCACAACACCAAACTCAGTAGGATACTTCCGTTTGTTTATAACAGAAAATAGGCGCAAACCAAGTTACCGCACTAGTTCTTCTGTAATAAGTTTGGAATCGTCCTCTGCCTTCAGTCCCATGGAACGAGTGGACCCATTAAGTAGGGGCATTCTTTATCAGTACTATTATGAACGTGTTACAGCGCTCGGGATAACCCTTGTTCCGAGTACCCTTATTCCGCGGCAATAGAAGATGTCCAGTCCCTTACGAGACTCGTGCTCACTAAATGCTTCTCGGCTAAAAGGTACATTTGAACAAACATGTACTGCATAGTCTCCTCACCATCTTGGACACCGTCTCCAGCGCTCTTCTTATGACTGGTCTCTGCATATGCCACTTGCGATGGTCTCCCTTCTTCTATTAGTACGTAAATTTTACCTTCACATCCGACTTTTCGTACGCATTTGAACCGACGCATCTTGCTGTAATGAACGGTGATCGACTGAGTATGGAGTGGTGTGCTGTGAACGAGGTCGTTTGTTAATAACATGACTTACAGCAATCAGAATGAACCTTGCCTCATCCATGATAAGACTTGCCGTGTTCTCTAGGTAGCACGATCGGCCTGTATAGCAATACTAGATCTCCATCTTGGTAGACTTTAGTCTGGCTGTGTTAAGGTGCGGCACTATTCCAGGGCAATAATTCAAGTCTTCCAGCTGTACATCTCTGGTGAAGTCCTTCAGCAGTCTAACCGGTGCTTAATCCGCTGATGTCCAGATGTCGTATGTCATATAGATCCCAAAAGTCTTGCATAATTTAGCAAAGAATAGGCTTTTGTTATTTGCTATTTGTTTTTTTGATTGTTATGCGCCATTTCGGATATCTGCTGTTGACAAATCCAGTGGGTGAAGAAAACCGAGACGATCTCTTCAGCATCTTGTGTCTTTGCGCGTTCTGCCTCGGCTGCCTTCTCAAAGTTGTCCACCACAACCAAAATATATCTGTTCTCTCTCTTGATGGGTGGCAGAGGTTCCATGATGGCAATAGCCACCATTTCTTCTTAAAACTTTTGTAACACAGGATAGAGTAGTGCAGTCACTGTGAAGCTGCTGCAAATTTGCAGGTTGACGGAAACCGGGTACTTCTGGGGTGATCGTAGGCCGTCATTACTACTTGCTCGATATGTCTAGCATCTTTTCGCTTACAAGACCCAGTTGCCCGTGTAGCTCTTAAAGGATATTTTGTACCGATAAGCCTAGGAACACTAGGCTTTTAAAACACTCAACACCTCATCCTCTAAAGAGAGTTTTGAAAATTCCCGCCATATTACCTGGTTCTTTTGGCCAATAAGATCACTGCTTTCACTATGGGTCTGTAAGAGGATGTAAGGGGCCTCCCTTATGCCAGAGCCATATGGGAATGGTTCTCCGCGTATTTCTTTAGTGATGTTTAGCTGGCCCAATCAAGGATATGGTATCCACTGCAACACTACCTGTTTCTGCCGGGACTGGCCTGTGAGACAGGTCATCTGCATTACTATGTGTATTCCCCTTCCCGTACTGCACTGTGAATTCCTACCCTTACAGCTTCTCCTACCAACATGCAACGAACAGTCTATCTCTTTCATTGTTTTCAGTTAGGTCAGCTCTTAATAATCATCTCCCACCATGAGCTATACCGCTAACTGGTAATGTCTAAAGTTTGACTACTGTGAAAATAGCGAACATTTTGCGTTGCGTTGCACTTTCCCATCTCACTTTTTTGTTGGGTTCAGTACTTTCGTAAGCAATGACATGGCCTTTTTCTTTCTTTGCCCTTTTGCGAGAGTATACTACCCACGGCTATATCGTCGGCAGTATCCAGTGCGAATGTTGGGGCGCTTTGTTCGGAATTTGGTAATGGTTGAGTCAGTGTGGAGTCGAGCATTTGCTTTTGTTCTTTAAACGCTTTATTGTACTCTTTCTCTTATTTTAAATTCTTTTTGACTGCTTTTCTCTCAATTTGTATAGTGAGTTCTCGATCTAAGCAAAACCTTTGAAAAAAGGTCTATAGTAACCTACTATGTTTAGGAAACTATAGAGTTCAGACTGACTGATTGGAGTTGGCCAGGTCCCTCCGTGATTTGTAAAGACTCAAGTAATTAAACCCTCTGGTTTTACGAGTACACAAGGCAGTTTATTCTGTGGGTGTACTGTAATGGTGTAAGGTTGAAGTGAGGTGAATTCATTTATTAATATAGTAAGTCACTTATTTGCTTAACTCTGTTTCGGTAAAGGGACCGCTTTGGGTTCCGGTCACTGTACCTTCACTGGGTGGGCTGAGCCCCGGCTTGTGCCGGTAGCCTTAAGCCCAATTATATGTCAATGGTATAATGGCAGAAGTGACCTCTATTGCTCTGTTTTTAGCAGTAATAATAATCTATTGCCTACGGCATCGACTGCTTGCTGTACTCAAAAAACGCTTATAACTGTTTCATCAAATCTCTAGGAGACTTAAATAAATGCAAGCCAATGATTCTGCATCAAGAAGAGCAGTTATTTGTTTTGTTCACGAAACGATGAATTAGTCGACTACTAAATTGTTTCTGAGTAGCTTTACGTAATTTAGTTTAGATTTGATTTCGCACTTTGGAATAAGCGAAAATGATCAAGATTTTGAATATGTAAATCTTTGCGACCCCCATTTAAAAATGGCTGCAAGTTTGACAGTGAGGCACTAAAATGTTCAAATAAACTAAATTTTAGAAAAATTGCCAGAATCTAATTCCCCTGTACTGTATTGCAATTGTCTTGATAAAATACAAATGCCCTACATTAATACATCCATTAAGCATGATTTTTGCATTGCTAAAGTTAAAATTAGATGGCAAAGAAAAGAACTAGTGTGCACACAGAAGCAACAACAAAGGTTTTGGCTCAGTGTTAAAAGCTGTCGAGCGATCAGTCTTGGTGGTCTAGATCGGGTACGCTACCAAATATCAGGTGTCAATCTGTAAAAACTTCACGATCTCAAATGATTGTTTACTAACTTCAAACTTAAGAAAACTTCCCTAACTAAAACAAACCGATCTTTAAGCTTCTCAGCTTATCAAAGTATGTCATAAGACATAATTCCATAATGGCATTTTTAAATAGTCCTTATATGACCAGACAAAAATTCATAATAATAATGGTGCATAGTATATTTCCTTGTAAATAAGAAACGTTTATTCAGAATCACTCGTGTGCGGCAATATTTAATAAGATTAATGGTTCTAAAAAGCATTCACTCCACCGCATTCAGCTACTGGGACTCAGAAGTCATTACGTCCAAATCATCAACAGAACTCAAAGTTGTTTCCACTTGACTAAGAATTGCCTTAGCTCCCTCTCCCATCGCGGCGGCCGTTGCAGAAGCAATGACACCAGCTGTGCTTATGGTAGCCATAGCTTCTTTGGCGGCTTCGTTTTCAGCCGCTTTTTCCACTACCAAATCCGTTGTCCAAAAATTGGTGGACTTGGACGGCGGCATAGTGGTGGTAGTGGCGGGAGCATGCATGGTTTCTTCGGCATCTTTCACTTCATCCACTGTTTTTACTGCAAGTTTTTCAGTAGCGACATCTTCGTACTCCTCGGCAGTTTGCTGAGAACTTTGATCATCTCTTTCTACTCCATTCTCATCTTCCTTCCGTTCAGCCTCTTCAATGCGATCTAGGAGCTGCGTGATGTCGCCTTCATTTACTTCCATCCATCCATTTTGGTCATCCATGTCTTCACCTTCTTCAAAATCTTGTTGAAAAGGGTCCATTTCTCCTATGAAATATCCGCCTGGAATTTCCATTTCAGGATACATGCCTTCGTCTAATGAAATAGCCAAAGCGGCGGCGTAGAGACAAAGGAACGAGAATTTGGCTCCTAGAAGATGCATTTTATTGCTTCTTGATAATTTGTTCTAAGTCAAATGGGTGGGTTTATATACGCAGTGTAAAGTCTAAATCATTCATAAAATGCAACAAATTGGAAAAATGTGGGTTAGTTAGGTGTGGCATTTCAAACATTTCCTGAGGGTTAATCGGTTTTAGTTGAATTGTAAGTTTTTACACAAACTTTTCCACTTTGACCATACATAATTAGAGTGGAAAGGTGCTATATTATACTGAGCGTCTATTGTGTTTAATTGCAATGGAGACATTATCGGTTAGGAAGTAGGTCATTTAAGGTCAAAATAGATTTAGTTTTAGTGTTTTCTATATTAGAAGTTTGCAAAAGTGTTCTGCTTTGTAAAGATTTTATTGGAAACGATGAAGACGGGAGGTGTGTAACACAATTGCAGCTAGGTGTATTATTTGACTTAATCTTTTTAGTAGGGGGTCTAGACTTAGAGTTCGGTGCGACTGTCATTCCCATAAAGTGTAAAGGCAGCTAAACCTATCCATTTTATAAAGTTTTAAATGCATGCTTTTAAAACTAAGAAAGTGGTGCGGCAGCCGAGAATATAAGGGGACGAGGAAGGGACTCTCTAAATTACCTGCATGGATGGGAGAAGAATAGTAGTTTAAGAAAGCCGAATGCTGGTAAAGTAACTACTTATGGTCAGGTTCCTTTGAGTTATAGATAATTAGTTCTCTCAAAAATGAGGAATCACTTGTGTGGTTTCAATTTTGTTAGCAATTGGGAGACTGTCAACTTAGGCTACTATTCGAATATATGATTTTCAACACAGAATCTTAGATGTTTTAGCTGTCATATTTAACATTTAAGCATTTAAAGACTCCTTTCAAACGACTTTAGCAGGCAATTTTACTATCATTGCTTCGATTACGCTGTGCCCTCCTTGTCAAAATAAGAGGTCACAAAATCTGACAGTGGTCCTTGATTTATCGGTATATATTCAAAGTCTTTAAGACTGCTATTTACGTTTGAGTAGAATATTGTGTGCTTGTATATGTTATACACTAAAGATGATATTGATGATGACCCTAATAGATTTAAAGTGAGTATCTGTTAAAACTATCCATAGCCCTTATACTTAAATTGTTCCATTACAAATATTTACTTTCCTGTAGTAAATTGAACATTTTATTGTAAAAATAGCAGAAGTTATCGCGATAGTTTTATTTACAGACTTTATTAGGAAGACTAGTTACATTCTGGCAATTTACTCATAAATAGCTTTCGCTTGTGCCGAGTCTTCATTTAGAACCAAAAATTCGATATCTATTATACACAGTGCATGACCAGCGTCAAATGCGTATTTGGTGAAAAAAATGACTGGTAGCCGCGATAGGAGAGGGCATGGTAGAGTGGGATGGGGCGGAGTGGACCTAAGCCATGAGCACACCACCAGTCGCTTTGCCTTCCTCACTGCGGGGCGGCGAACCCCCAAAGTGGAGAGAGGAGGGTGGGGAGGGCGATGATTGGGCCAGATTGGAGGCAGAGAACTCAGTGGCTGGTGAGCGGTGATTGGAGTGGCCAACCACCATTGATTCGCCTTCCTCAGTGTCTCCGCCCTCTTCTTCTTCATCCTCCATTTGTCCTCTCTCGGAGATGTAGATGCCTTCATCACCGCCCTCATCACTGGACGCAGAGGTCTGTCGACGTGAGACTTCGGCAACCTGGCACACCCCTGGTGGCAGGTGGAGCGAGGGGTCGGAGAGGTTCAGTGGAATGCTGGATGGTGACGTCGGTGCTGTGGGCGTGGTGGTTGATGTCATTATTGTTGCCGATGGAGTGGTATTCTTCGTGAATGGTGAAAGGATAGGTGGATTGAGCACTGCACTAGGCATTTGACTGCGCTGTAACACTCCCTGACCTGGGGCAATAAAGTCAAAATGGTCTGGCAATAATGCCTATCAATAGGCCCGTCAAAGGAATGCAAATGATAATACACGAAGAAAAGCACAATAAGATTTACAAAAAAGCAAAATTCTGCTAAATGTTACTTGGATTCGATTAAACATAGATAATCGGTTCGAATCGAAAAAGCGTTAGTGACTTAATTTTGGGAAAAATGATTAATTTTCTTCTATTAATATGCGACATTGTAGACCGTAACTATGAACAAAGAATAAATATTGTCATAAAAGCATTCTCTTTGTTTTTTTCAATATTAACCAGAATATTATAATGTCATCATCCTAATCGTTATACTTATCCTCATCTCGACGTTATTATCTTACCTGGTTTTGATGCGGTTATAACAAGGTCAACAAATGTTCTGCATTGGTGTAAATTGCTGTAATTCTACTTGAATATCAATTCGCTGTATTCTTTCATGCCCTTGTAAAGAGGTGGAACGTTCCCAGCCATACGTGCTAATCCTACACCTTGAAATTTTAGTCAATAATATTTAAGCTAATTTTGTTGTAAGTTTTTCTGTCGTAGCAAAAGGGCTTATATGTCTTAGCACTTAAGAAAAGCTATCTATTTTTACAGAAAATTTGGCAGTTAGCTACTAAATCAAGAAATTTGCGGTTGTAATATTAATTAAGGTGGAATTCACTTCGATTGCAAGGCCGATCAGCAT